CATGTTAAATAACCCTCTTCTCTTGGGATTGTCATCGTTAAATAACCCTCTTCTCTTGGGATTGTCATCGTTAAATAACCCTCTTCTCTTGGGATTGTCCATGTTAAATAACCCTCTTCTCTTGGGATTCCATGTTAAATAACCCTCTTCTCTTGGGATTGTCATCGTTAAATAACCCTCTTCTCTTGGGATTGTCATCGTTAAATAACCCTCTTCTCTTGGGATTGTCATTACAGTTGTTTTGTATTCCAAAATAGAGTTTCTTTTGAGAAATGTTTATAGTCAACGTATTAATGTTATTATCATCTTTCGTCATGATTTTTACCTATATCGTCTTTGAAGAAATCATCTTCTTAGTTCATTCAATTCTTTTTATTTTCTACGATTTCAACCACATTGTGCAAGTTATCATGCCACGATTATGATTCTATTTTTATGTGAAGAAAGCCATAGCAAAGACTTACCTCCTCTTCAATACGTTTAGCATATTTTAAGTTACTCTCTTCAGATCTATCATCACTTATAAAGATCTAACATGAAAATAGTAAATAAAATATGAGCTTCTTCGAGCTGCCCCTTGCTAATTCTGTCATGAAAAATTAATTCTAATTTTACTAACGTCCTTTGAAACATTAGGGGTTTTCTTATAATTTCATACTTTAATATGTGTATGATATATATATATATAAGTGGTTATTCTTGTCATTCATAACTGATGTAAAACGTGCAGTATGATCTTCTTTTTTCTTTAATGACTAATCCCAGCTACTCATTTTGTAAGCTAGGAACTTTTACACCCAGGTGGCTTAGCCCAGTCGGCAATAAAAGAGGACGAACATGTGCAGTTACAAGGATTCGAACTCGGGACCCTCAGATTGCGAGTCGAGCACCTTAACTACCAGGCCATGTCAGGCCCGCGATGTGAATCTAACACTTCATAATCCTAATATCACACTCAGTGATAGGAAGACTTATTATTCCAGAATTATAATAATAATAAGTAATGAGTAACAAGAGAACTTTCTACTAAAGGTTACAAATCCTGTTTGGGTACCAAGAGCAACAGCTTTCCGCCGTAATGTTCTGTTTCTTTGCCTGGCATTACGAATAAAATCATCACTATTATTTTATGTATTGACAATATAGCTAACTGAAGTTCCCGTTTACTTCTTGCATTAAGACCCAATCACTTAGGTTGTTCCGCTGTGAAAAGTAGTGTTGAAATATGAAATATATAGTGTTGTCCGTTGTCCTTTCAAGTTAATATATTTTTGAGACTAAAATGCATATATAAAAAGCAGGTTGATATTTATCTAGCTAGGCCGAATATATCTGTGTGTAACATAATATATGCGGTAAAATATATAAAATTACTAGTATGTCGTTGAGTTATAAAGCACACGTTACCTGTTTTTTGCTTATTAGACAAATACTTTTACGTATTATTAATGAAATTTTTATGTTAGATCTATTCATCTGTCAACTAAAAAAGAAGTCACCCGATGAGTCAGTGTCAAAATGACGGATTTACAACGCTAAAGCACCCCAGTGGCACAGCGGTATGTCTGCAAAATTACAACGCTAGAAACCGGGTTTCGATACCCGTGGTAGACAGAGCACAGATAGCCCATTGTGTAGCTTTGTGCTTAACTTCAAACAAACAAACAAACAATACAACGCTAAAATTCGGAGTGCGATTTCCCTCGGTGGACAGAACTCAGATAGCCCTTTGAGTAGCTTTGCAACAACATCAAACAAAAAGAACGAACTTGTTCTATTCCCCTTGATGGACAGAGGCCAAGTGGCCTATTGTGTAACTTTAAGGTAACTAACAACAACACAAAAAACGAGCAGAATGGACTTCTAATAGTGTGTAGTGTGACTTCCACGGTAGTATCGCAGACATTGTAATGGTCATTCTACACATTCTTAAGGGGTACCAGTTAATCTGGCCGATCTGGTGCTTAAAGGCACTTAGATTCGAATTATATGGTTTAGATGGAACGATTCATACTCGCTATAAAGTAAAATTCATAGGTTATCTATTAAACTGAAAATCAAACAAACATTGTGCTGAGTTAAAAACAAACAGTTTATGATATTGTTTTCCCGTTAATCAACATACTAACACTGGTGTGTGCCTATAAAAATTCTGCAAGAATATGACGCAGAACGAGTTTTTTATAATAGAATCCTTGTTTTAAATACTACTTTAATCATTGGCGATATGGTTATTATAGTTACAGAACATGTAGCTAGGCTTTATTACATACGAAAAAGGTGGAATGTTTGTTTGTTTGTTTTTGAATTTCGCGCAAAGCTACACGAGGGCTATCTGCGCTAGC